TATATATATATATATATATATATATATATATATATATATATGGCTCAGTTAGCACGTCTGTTCAAATGTCTTGATAAAAAACAATTCTCTAATGGGGAAAGAAAGATACTGAACTGAATTACCTCCTAAAGGGGGCTCCTTCAGAGTCAGAGTCAGAGTTTCTTTATTGTCATTCGCACCTCATGTGGTACATGTGGTGGAGCGAAATTATGTACACGGGGTCCCAGTTACATCCAACAATAAAATGTATAAGAAAAACAGTAATAACATCTAAGATATGAACTAAGAAAAACATCAACTAAATATACACTAAGCACTCATAACATAAAACATTGAACATCAGCACAAACATGAACATGAGTCTGTGAGCAGATTCAAAGACATTTTGTGAGACAAGACTGGTGCCAAACTGTCAACACTGAGACATCAACCTTTAGAAGAACATGTCTGGTCGAGACTTTGTGTCAGGAATCATGTAGTTTCTCTCAAAATTTTTTGTAGATCTGTACGTTTGCTGTAATAAAGCAAAAGATCTCTGATCAGAGAAAATACAATGTATAGGTGAATACAAAATGGCTGAAAATTCCAAACTTTTTACAACAAAAAATTAATCAAAATTTTATCAAAATTAAAAGGCATGAAATTTTAAAAATGTTTTATTGGTGACAAAATAAGATGTACAAAAAGATGATTACATTTTTCTGTTGTGTTTGGAGGTCAAAAGTTCACCTGTGACTCGGGGCCATTTTTAATGAAACTACTCAAAGAATGCATGTCAAAAGGCATGTTTTGGACAGCTTGGCCCAATAAAGGAATATGTACTGTCACTTGAAAACAACTTCATCTTGCTCTGGTTGCTAAATTCAGTGTTGGTAAAGATGTTTATGTCATTTGTCCTTGGAAAGAACCATTACCATGTCCCACTGGTGTTTGTTGCTGAGCCATGAGTCATAAACACACACTGTTGCAGGTAGATTTAACATGTTGAATGTGTTTTGTTGTGTATAAACCAGGCAGCAGCGGGGCACATTATCAACATGTTATGGCAGCTGATGGAGAATGGTTTGGAGGAGCTGAAACTCTTACAGACAGTTCTGGTCCTGTTGACTACCAACACAGTTGTTCATGATGAAGTTCTATCTAAGGTACAACACCACCATATCACAGTGTGTTTTAAAAGATGCCTTACTCTTTTATCTGTGCTTATCTATTGTTCAATGAAACTTGAAACTTCTCTCATTTTTCTTCTCAATGTATTACTGTATTTTTCTCCCTATAAGTCACATTTTTTTGCATAATTTACATGCTCTGCGACTTATGCACCAAAACGACTTATTTGCTTTTTCCTCCATATTTTTAAACCAAATTTTGTCTGAGATGTGACCGGTTTCATTCATTCTGACTGAAAAAATTAAACACTACCATTTTCAGCTGCTAAATGGCAGTGGAGTAGTATGGCATGCCGTTGTGTCATGTAATAGGTAAATGTGGTTATTAAGGACACAATTGGCTTGCCATAACCTGCCACCTTCGTCCAGCTTGCCTGGAGCAACCGTCAAATCAGCTTCATTTCGCTGTGCTGCCCCGGCGAAATGAAGTTGATTTGACCATTAAAGTGCATTTTTTAAGTAAAAAAGTTCAAGTTTAAGTTAAACTGAGACACACCTTTATTATAAAGTTGAGCAAACAAATAATTATTTTTAGGTGGTTATCTTGTTAAATTTAGAAGAAATACACAGCGACTCGTCCCTCTGTGCGTGGCCGCTTCTGCGAATTGGATTTTGAAATGCAGCTGATTTGATCGTCAAAGAGCATTTTATTAAGCAAAAGTTAGTCTGAGCCTCCTTTGCTATAATTTCGAGCAAACAATTGTTTTTAAGTGTTAATCTTGTTAAATTCTTGTTAAAGTCCTGCTGTGCATGCTCCCGCGGCTTCCATTTGGCAGCCAATCAATTTTTTGGCACAACACCGGCCCACATTTACAAGTTGTCGGCGGTGATGCATAATAGATGCAGCCTATACAGGTCCTTCTAAAAAAATTAGCATATTGTGATAAAGGTCATTATTTTTCCATAAAGTAATGATAAAAATGAAACTTTCATATATTTCAGATTCATTGCACACCAACTGAAATATTTCAGGTCTTTAATTGTTTTAATAGTGATGATTATGGCATACAGCTCATGAAAACCCAAAATGCCTGTCCCAAAAAATTAGCATATTTCATCCCACCAATGAAAGACAAGTGTTTTTAATACAAAAAA